ACTCTAGTAGGCTATTCAAAGTTTCATTTGTATTTGAAATATTCATAATTGTGATACTTGGTGTCTGTGTATTGATACAATATTGCCATGCAAAATTGTGATATACAAATTATTGTGATACTAATGCTGTATCGATTTTTTCCCCCACCCCTAATCTCCACTCTGGGTTTAAGTATACCGTAATGATATAATTCCTGCGTGACTCAGCATCAGAATTATACTTTTAATCTGTGCAGTGAAAGCTGTGTAATGGTAGAATTATAAGCAGTGTCCATGGATGGGTGACATTGTAAATGATTTTTAATGGACCTCTCTCACTCTGTGATTTTTTGTGAACATGGTTGTTTAATGCTGTTGTTTTGAATTAGGAAGACAAATGAATCAGGTCACCTATTCACTCCTACCTTCTCTCTGTGAAGCATCTGGAATAGGGATCAGTCTGCTCACGACCCTCGTCACCTGACTATGATCAACAGGTCTAAACAGTCAGGACACACCCCCTCTGTCATGCTACGTTTTATAAATCTGACAGCTCATAAGCTAGAGTACCAGACTGTTCTTTTGCACATGTGAGAGCTCAAAACATGCCTGAGAGAAAGGCAGCATGCAGGGAGGGACAGCTGGCTTTGTGGTCACACCTTTGTCTTCTATAGTGTAAATGCAAGAGTCCACTATACTGTTCCCTCTGTTATGCTGGGCCTCATCTGTGTGAGCTGCTACATGTTCTCAAATGTACTGTGATCTTTGGATTCTGACATAGTGTAGCTCACAGGCTGTTACATATGAAACAATACAGTGTGTCCAGCACAGTACATCTGCTCAACGGCCTGTCCAGAATATAGTCCAGTCCGCCAGTCCAGCTTTCATGGTCACACTACACTGTCAGTCACCTAATGTATGTGAACATATTGGAATGTGATGTAAACAGATCCATGTAGACATTGACTGAGGTCACTATACAGCTAGTCTGCAGGCAACTGTAATGGTTTAAGACATATGATTTGTGCATTACAAATTAAAGACAATTTGGGTAATGGACACTTTCTACCACTGAACAATGATTAAATGAATGCTTTAGTCTGGAGACCAGGAAACATATTCACAAAGGATCTCATCTGACCACTGAAACTAGTAATAGTCCCTTGCTAACATTTTCTTTAAAAGGTCCAGTATGAGGGATTTAGGGGGATGTGTTGGCAGAAATTGAATATAATGTAAAAAAGTATGTTTTCCTTAGTGTATAATAACCTAAAAATAAAAATAGTTGTGTTTTCCTTTCCTTAGAATGAGCTGTTTAGATCTATAAAGGGGGCAGGTTCTCATCTACGAATATCAGGGACAAACCAAACATTGGTACTACATAGGGACATTTGCATTTTCACATTTTTGCATTGGCAACAGTAGTTAGCAGTGCCTCCACAATGAGCTGCATCGTTTTGTTTTTGTTTTTTTGATGGAAAAACTACTTTATTCAGTGTTTTTAGCAATGTAGGGTTGACTCCGTTGCTGTGGATGACCTACTCACTATGTCTACAGTCATTGGTTGACAGCTGACCAGTATATGTCAGTGAATGTGAAATCAAATAAAGGGGACATTTTAGCATCTAACACTATCAGCATGTGATGTGTTTTCCAGCTGATAAAACAAATCAGCAGACTTTGGTAATTCTACATATAGCATCAATTTTAGCTGATAATCCAGCCATGGCCAGGAAATCACCTGTATTTATGTATTTATGTATTTATTGCAAATGGTGATAATATGATTATTAGTACATTTAATGAACTATCAAACAAAGTGAGTGCAGAGATGCAGAGTCCCTGCAGACCCAAGTTTTACACGTATGTATGCGTACGTTCCAGACCCACAGTTTCAGGTTACAGACATTACAGAAGTCCACCTTTCTAGTCTTTTACGAAATGAAATGTGTGCACATTGCATTTATAAAGGATTGTTATCAATATCAAAAAACAGACATCCCACAGTCAGCTGCAGGAGATTGTTGCATGATCCTGTTTTAACAGATCTAAAATAACAACCATAATAGCTACAACAGTCATATTGTTTGCAGCAGAAAGTTAAGGCTTTTGTTTTCCATTTCATTACATTGTACGCTTATAATGGCCTCATTGCACTACATTGTGTGTGGTGGTGTTCATTCGTTTCTGTGGTACCGCCTTTTCACTCTGTTCATAAAAATGAGTATATCTCAAACACCAAATAATGTAACATTTGAATACCTTGTGGAATGTTAAGAAATAGTTTGTTTAGTTTCTTCATTTAAAAATCTTTGGTATCTATATGTTTTGTGTTTTTATTTTGTAAAATCTGATTTAAAAATGTTAAATTTTTGTATACATTTTTTTAATGACACAATTTTAATAATTTAATCATGTTTATCATTATTACATCTTATTGATGTGCATAACCTTTTAGCTAAGGCTGTACAGACTTTAGGGATATGAAGCATTTGAAGATACTCCAACAAATGACATCACAATAAGCAAAAATACCAATGAAGGCACTGGTGGACTGTTTCTATTGCAGAGTTCAATAGTTAATGTAAAATGTATGCCTACACAATAAAAAAAAGCTTTACACATGCCCATGGAAGGTGATTGGTTATACTAGAGCACAACTAACAAGTCTATGTCAAGCATGTGACACGGTGACACAGTTATCTAGGCTATCTCAGAAATTTCATCTAGTGTTGATAGCATCATCTACCCCATTTTTACTTTGATACTGTGGAATTAAAAAAAAAATCTTAATACACTTACCATTGCTCTCTCTCTCTCTCTCTCTCTCTCTCTCTCTCTTTCTTTCTCTGTGGGTGAGTGTGTGAGAGAGATGTTTTGTGGCATTGTCTTTACTACATAGAATTTGCCCTGTGTAGAGCAAAATGTCTCAACAACTACTGACCAGATTGTACTGAAGTTTGCAATTTGTCCACAATGGAGGATGACTTATGACTTTGGCTAGTGCCAGTATAAGAACAAAACATTTCTGTTAAAATAAACAACAAATATCCAAATGTAACAAAAATGTCCATGAAAAGTACTAGACTTTTGATAAATACTGAAAGGTGACACATGAGAGAAAGACCTGAATAAATGAGTGGAGAAACATAATGAATGCAAATGATTCCACATATGTGCACTGCATGGTACAATGAATATCTAATCATGCTCTGTGGCATCTATAAAAATGCAGAGCAGGCCAAGTTGATTTTTTTTTTAAATTAAGATTTTGGCTGACATGTAGAGAGAGCTCTCCACCATCATCAAAACACCACGAGGAAATATCTTTTGGAAGCATATTTAATCTCTCCAATGCAGTTCCACAGACATGTAGAATCAATGCTGAGTTGCACTGAAGCTGTTCTATTCGCCTAACATAACACCTTAATAAGCTACTTTATGTTGGTTTTCTGACATTCTGACATTCCTGTTTTTACTGATACAGGGTTCCCACATATTATCAAGCAACCTTTTTCATTTTCTGGTAGTCAGTTATGTTCATATTCTCTTCAGTAATTCAAACTGATAGTCAATTCATCATCCTTTACATAAAAAAGAGCTTTACAAGCACTTACATCAGTCTGGTACTAGCTTTCCAGCATGAGGGAAAAGAAAACCAACTGTACTATCAGTGTTTTATTAATCAGATTATAAACTCATTTCTGTATCCAGTGCTGAAAAACAGTGTGGCAACATTAGTGTGTAGGCATGTCCTTCTTAAACATGCCAATACATCCCATTAATATACTTAAATTCATATACCCAGTAAGCCCTTCAATACAATTTATCAATGGCCTGCTTTGAATGCATGCACAATGATGTCAATACAAAACATGAAGAAAGTTCCACACACTGTAGCTCCCTTAAGTGCAATTTATTTGCACATCCACCAATGACATTTCGATCTAATGCTTTTTCCTTAAATAACATTTAATTAATTTGAATGAATGCACATGTGGCAAAAGACACACTGCACACATGGAAAAACATAATATACAATTGTTTAATGTATTGACCAGAAATACTGCTTCTCAGTTGTATATCTTTTTCACAAGAATGGGACGGAGGGACAGACAAACAATCTGAAAACATAATGCCACCAGCCATGGCTATTGCTGGTGCAGAGGCATAAAAATGTCAAAATACACAATTAAAAATGGAAGGAAATGCTGAAAAAAGAGCTCTGCCATTGAAATCTAATGTAATTCTAATAGTTTTTCAACCAGAGTGAAATCTTCACCACTTCATTATTACTATTGTTAAAATTCATGAATTCATGGTGAAGCTAGCCAAATAATACTGTATTATTCACATTAACTCATATTTTACAGATCTTACTATTCACTGTAACATCTGGAACTCACTTATGCCTACGCCCAGCACTGTGGATCAAACTCACATGTGTGCACATCTAAAACTGGGGGGTCTGCTGGGGCTCCCTGGCTCTGCAGATCAACAATATTGAACAAAGTAGACTCTGAAGAACATTTTTGGTTTGATAAATAGTTTTTCAAGATGGCTGAGATCATCAGTGCTGATAATTGTATTCTTCCAGCATCAGTGTAACTTAGAATTGTGCAAGCTGTCATCTTATGTGTTACTGGATTGGCTCCATTTGTTGGTGAGTGTGAAGTAAACTTTAAACCCAATTAAGTTAATTGTAAACTTAAGGCAAAATAAAATTAATTTTGTTAATCTGTGAAATCAGTAAGGAATGCAGCATATGGATGAGTGTAGGGTGTGATGGGTGCAAACAAAAATCCAAAACCTCGAGCAAATCAGCTGGTGAAGATCTTGGGATTAGAGAGAGAAAGAAGTATATGAAGGCACTTAAATAGAATGATGCCCAGTTTATTCAGGTGTAGGTAGTTTCCTGATGTCCTTCAGTAGTCTGGGGATTTGTGACTATCACTGATCATGAAATGTCGGGGACTTCAGTTAAGGACAGTCAATATATTCAGCTTCATTAACCACTGCAGGTGATCGTGATGGGAGCAGAGCAGAACGGCTTGCCAAAGGACTACCAGGAGAAGCTAAGAGCAATCAAGACCAACATGTATGAGGGTCCTTTACCCATGATGGCTGAACTGGAGCGAGCCAGAAGGAGAGCCAAAGAGAGGGGCAACCACCGTTCTGAAGTGTTCTAATGCAGCAGAATCCGGGTCTACTTTTTACTACAAGAAGTCCTTGTAACACTGTATTGAACCTAATACTGTAGCTCAACAAGTTCACTTCAGCTAGCTGCTTAAAGCCTAACTTGGCTAACCTCAATCCCAGCAGCCTGGTCTATGAGTCTGAGTGACCACTGTCAGCCACTGATAGATTACAGCACTGATGAGACTGTTGCCTGTACAGATGAAAGTAATTCTGACATTTTGACAGTATAGAGGTGTAAGATCCACCAGAAATGTTGAGTGAATACATATCACCACAAGGAAATAATAGCAGGCATAATGTTATCACCTAAATAAAATGTGGTTAGTCACTGCAGGATTTTTTTCATACCTTAAAGAAATTACTTTCAAAATCAGTGGCTATGATTTGTCGTGAATGAAACATAGAAGACACAAATATGTTCCTTCGATGCTTTATGAAATGTAATATTTGTGATGCTACTTGTCATTTCCCACATATCCAACTGTAACCTCATTTGAAATACATTAAAGTGGTTTATGTCAACACAGACACAACTCCTTCTTTGTCATTTCACTTAAAGGTCCAGAGTGTAGGATTTAGGAGGACATATTGGTAGTAATGTAATATAATATAATAAGTGCATCTTCTTGGTGTATAAATACCTAAAAATAAGAACTGTAGTGTTTCCCTTACCTTAGAATGAGCCATTCATATTTCACATAGGGATGAAGAACATTATGATGTCACAGTGAAGTTGACCTTTGACCTTTTGGATACAAAATGTCATCGCTTTATCATTTTATCCTATGAGACATTTATGTGAAATTTTGTAATAATTAGTGTGGAAATTCTTGAGTTATGGCCAACAGTGTGTTTGTTTTTTTTTGTTTTTTTTTTAAGTCACAGTGACCTTGACCTTTGACATATGACCACCAAATTCTAATCAGCTCATTCTTGAATCCAAGTGGACATTTGCAGCAAATTTAAGGAAACTCCCTCAAGGTCTCCACAAGAATGAGATGTAAACAAGGTTAAAGTGACCTTTGACCTTTGACCACCAAAATCTAATCAGTTTAATTAGAGTCCAAGTGAACATTTGTGCCAAATTTGAAAAAATATCCTCAAAGTGTTCTGGAAATGTCGTGTTCACAACAATGGGTCGGATGGATGGACAGACAAACAACCCAAAAACAAAAATGCCTCTAGCCAGGTTCTGGTCTATGGAGATGTGGCACAGCCATGTTTCTACAGTACCCAAAAACAGACACTAAACACTGACTCTAGATAGGGCTATTCACATTTTCACACTTAAGCGTTGGTCACCCTACAGTAGTTAGCAGCGCCTCTGCAATGAGTAGCATCGGAAAAACATAGATTTTCTTTTTAACATGAAACTGCTTTATTTAGTGTTTTTACTGATTAAAATCATTGGGTCTGTTGTTTTGGAGAGGAAGAGATCTCTAGGGATAATTCAGCTCCCTTAAAACCTGCTGAATGTCTGGATCAGAAATAAGGTGAGCACACAATAAGTTACCAGATTAGCAGCACCTCCACAATGAGCAGCATCACCAAAGCACTGATTTATATATATGTACATATATATATATATATATATATATTTATTAAACTGCTTTATTCAGTGTCTTAGCAATGTTTATGACCTGGGTCTTCAATTATAACCATTGCCTACGCGCATAAAAGGGCTTAAAACTCTGACCCATATGTACACTCATTTTGGAGACCGGGGAAATTGGCAACAGAGATGGTAAGATGGTGAACTGAAGCCAGATTGTGGAGATTAGACGTGAGAGGAATTATTATATGTATAATGATCTCTTACACATTAAAATTCACCTCATATCACATATCATTTCTTAAAGATCCACTTCACATTTAAATGCATCAGTGGTATTTGTGCTTGTGCCAGTGAACCAGAACTTCTCCATAAGCACCTTTAGATTGCAAAAGATATGTCACCTTAAATCTCAAATCAAATCCCACTCAATATTTATTTATCACATTCCCCTCCAACGGACGGCAGAGGAGAGTTGGGCCCCGTACTGTATGCTGCTGACAATCGTGGTCAGCTGTGGAGCGCACCATGCACAGCTGAATGATGCCAGGCTGTGGCAGGTGACAGGATTGAGAAAAGTCTGGCCTTCATTTACCCGATAATAAGCATGAATATACATCATCTTCATCGTCATCTTCACCTTGACCACGTTAACCAGGCTAACTGATGAAAATAACTTAAATCGGTTGTAGAAATCCAAGATAACATCAAACAGCATTGAATAACTGTAGTACACTGCGCCAACAGCTGTGCATATATCACCAAGTATGACTGTAGTTTTCAGACAATTTTTGGTTGTAAAATGGTTGCAGGAAACATGAGTGTGCTGTCAGGCTCACAGAGGGCACTCAAGACACTGTGGTACTCCGCTTCTCACCCAGCACATCTACACCGCCTGCACATACTGGCCCTCATTTATCAAACGAGCGTAGAAACAGGTGCAGATCTGAGCACAGGATTCATCTTACGATAGGACACACGTGTGATTTATGAAACGTTCGTATCTGACCAGTCCCAGCGTACGAATGATCAGGCCTTGATAAATGTGGCGGCTGAAATCGCTTGTCATTAGCATGTCACACCCTTAAATATTCATGGTTCAGAGGCCTTGCCCTGTGAGATCGCAACATGGAGAGGAGAAATATTGCAAAGAAGAGAAACTTTCCCGAGCTGGAAATCGACACTCTCAAGTCTGAGGTGGAGGTAAATAAAGACATGCTTTTTGGAAGTTTAAAAACTGGCATTAAAGGAGCCCATAAAAACGCTGTCTGGAAGAAGATCACGGAGGCAGTCAGCAGCGTCGCCGTTGACAAACAGACTCCGGCTGAGGTTTGAATAAAATTCTCAATAAGTAGCCTATAATAAAAAATAATCTTTTATTCATCCATAGCTTTATAGCCAATGCCTGGTATTTGATCAAGTCACAATTCTTTACGTTTAGGTCAAGAAAAGGTGGTCAGACTTAAAGCTGGCAACAAAAAGCCCTTAGGCGCAGCAACACGCAGACTGGAGGAGGCCAACCAGACCCCAGCCTGACCCTGACGGGGACTGAGGAAAGAATCTCCTCACTAATCGGGTCAGAATCTATCTCTGGCATAAGTGGTGGTGGTGGAGACACAGATGCACTTGTGTCGGAGCCGGAGCAGAACGGTAACTAACAGCCCTCCTTTTGCTTGCATTAGTTAATTTAACCTGACAGTACACTACTCTCCAAACAAAAAGGCTTGCACGTGTTACACAGGTACACATTTTTATTGTTTTGTTTACATGATGTTTCAGAGCCAGGCACCAACGGCATGGCGTCCAGGTCCTCTCCCCAGAGCGGTCCCACCGAGCCAGGCAGGCGAGCGCGTGCCCTCCGCCTCCCGTGCTTGGCCAATCATCACGGCAGAGGTCCTGGAAAGGCAGACAGAAATATGTCATTTATTGGCTTCAGTTAGCACGCTTGAGACAATTAATAACACGCTAAAATAAATTAACAAGAATCTTAAAAAAAAAAAAAAAAAAAAAAGAATAAAATGTTTAAATAACTAAAGGTTGTCCATTGTCTGTATTGAATATCCCTATACCCTTATAGGCTATACTTGCATTACATTACTGATTAAATAGGCCTACTGTAGAGCACTTACACAACTTTAAAGCACTGCATGAAAAACCAGATTATCGACCATGTAAACTCCTGCCAAGTTCCATGATTCCCGGCAATTCACACCAGTTTACAGAGAAGTTTGCCTGTGCCTTAAACTGCTGGAAAGGAACACCGGGGGTGGGGGGT